TGTTGTTGGGGGCAATATGCTGACTCTGTAAACCGCTTAGAGAGGGCTGAAAGCCCTATGAAGCGGTATATAAGTCTAACTGCTATTGCTAACTCAACACAGCCGCGCACGCTTTGCTAACACCTCTGTTAACACCGCAGAGTAAATAGTAAAAGCTCCTCCTGCTAGGATGGGTCGCTTCAAGTCTCGTTTTGTTTTTTTCTTCCGTTGCAGGTTCACGTACGGCCACGCGGGCGCCGTCCACGAGGAACTCGTCTACATTTCGGGAGGCCACGATTACCAGATCGGCCCCTATCGCAAAAACCTGCTGTGCTATGATTACCGGACGGATGCCTGGGAGGAGAGGAGGCCCATGATCACCGCCCGTGGCTGGCACAGCATGTCTACTTTACATGACGACATTTATTCGATCGGGGGCAGTGACGACCACCTGGAGACTATGACACGCTTCGACATCCTGGAGGTGGAATCCTACAGCCCCAAATGCAACCAGTGGACGAGAGTGGCGCCTCTGCTCCAGGCTAACAGCGAGTCTGGCGTAGCCACCTGGGACGGCAAGATCTACATCCTGGGCGGCTACAGTTGGGAGAACACGGTCTTCTCCAGGGCCCTTCAGGTCTACGACAAAATGACAAAGCAGTGGCAGAAAGGGAGCGACCTTCCCAAGGCCATCGCCGGCGTGTCGGCTTGCGTCTGCGTCTTGAGGCCCAGGTCGCACGACAAAAAGAAAAAGGCCAAGTCGCAATGCCACGAACATCGAGGGAGATGAGGGGGTTGCGCTTGGATCGAAGCCTGACCTTGTCCCGATACAGGCAGACCGCAAATTTACAACCACGATTGGAAACCAGAATTCCCATCACTAAACGAGGCGGTTGTGAAGCAGTATTGCACCTGATTTAACGTCTTTTCTTCCCCTGGTGGTGGAGCAAAACGCCACGGTCGTTAAGTGAATCGCATAGTTGCTAAGTGAATCCAGCTTTTGCTATTGATCTTTGTCAGAAGCTGGTTGGGAAGGTTGCAATATGGTGATAATGTGATTCTCGGATGCTTCAACCTTCCTTGCCAAGTGCCTGAATTTTGATCGCGAGAATGCCACAAGAGTCGTGTGAGAACTGGTCGGAAGTCACTTTTTTTCAGTACCCATCTGAACGTTGGAATGGTTGCTAAATGCACTGCCGTAAGTCGAGGACAACCTGTACAGAGAACTGGTTTTGGAAACTTCAGAACCATACCTTCTTGACTTGGGCTAGAGAACTTCCTCCGTTGTCCATCCTTGTTTCTCGGAATGGCGAGCAAACGTTACTCCTTTCGGGAGCAACCTAAGCGTTAGGGCACGAAGTCTGTGAGAAGAAATCAGCAGAGCATCTACAAATTGGGGAGATGAATGTCAGGGATCTTCAGAGAAAGCAGGGCACAGGTAGATTGCCTTTTCTTGGAAGGTAGAATTGTGTCAGTAAAAGCCTGTCCGTCAAAGCTCACTTCTTGTATTAAAATCCTACTTTGGGCAAATTGATCAAAACGGAGAAATGAATTTGGATTTTGGATTTTATTCAATTTGTAGGCCGCCCTATTCCCCGAAGGGACTCAGGGNATGCCTGCTTTATTAAATTGGAACTTTAAGCATGGTTTTGCCTTCGATTCTGATTTGATTCTACATGGTATTTGGAAGGCTGACACCTTGACGCACAATCTCAAAAGTTATGGGTTTGGAGAGACTATGAATGTGATTTCAGGAGGCATTTTCAATCAACTCACTGCGATTATAGGATTTTAGTGGGATTTTTTTCCTCTCGAATTCCACCATACTGTGGAATGACACTTGGGCAAGACTTGAAGAATCTTTTATCTATTTAGCCAATGGAAAGAGCTATCCAACCAGATCAAAGAAAACCTCATGATCATTCCACCATTCTGCTTTTCCGCATCACAGGGACCTCCTTTGCACAGTAGTGCGAAACTCAAGGTGAAAGGAAGATTCAGTCAACTTTTAAAACCATACGCAGACACCCAACGTCCATTGATCACCAGCCAATATAGATTTCAACAAAATAAGCAAGTTTTTTTTTTTTACAAGAAAGAAACCCTGAAACTGCTAGTATAAAGCAGAGATTTCTGTAATAAGGAACGAAGTGCTGTCTTAGTCAAACATTATACTCCGGAGACGAATGAAATGCGAATAGCTAATACTCTCCCCAAGTTAAGAAAATTAAACTTCCCAAGCTGAGGGTTTTCTGCATGGTCTGTTCAGAGAAAAACAGCTTCTTATTTATATTATTTATTAACCATATTTTTATCTCACTTCTGACCAAGCACACTGTTTATTTCCCCGAGGGCATTTTATACCATTCTTTTTTTTGGGGGGGAATAACAAGAACATCTACCTTAGCAAGCAAATATAATGAAAAACAGAGCAGAACTGCTACAGAATGAAAAAAGGGGGTTTTGTGCCTCTAATTTCTAATTGCTGTTGCTCAGCAAATGGAAAGGTAAAATTAGAGAAGCTTCCAATCAAGGCTTTTATGGAGTAATTGTCCCATCTCATCTGCATATTTTTGGTGATTACGCAGATTGTATTGGGCCTTGGCTGGCTTTTTTTTTTTATTTGCTTTTCAGTTTTTACCTTTCTTTGCTAGTTCACTGCTCAGAGCTTCCTGGGATAGAACTACAGCCTTCGGTATTAAAAAAAACAAAACAGGAGGAAAACTTTGTCATCTGAGATGGGGTTTTTTGTGTGTGTTCTCACTACTTTGTTTAGTTTTTATTTTATTTTATGAAAAACAAAACACCTGACGGTAGCAGCAGAGGGAGGGCCCTTTGATTAATGTTTTTCGTAACTAGGAGTTTCTTTGATTAATGTTTACAGTTCTTAAAGTAACAAAGCAAGCTATGAATGAGAATGTACAGCCTGATAAGAACTGGTTCAAACCTGCCAAGGAAGCTGACTTGAACCTTAGTGAGTTGCACACTTATTAGAATGGAAAAACCACACCTTCTGAATATTTAGATAAGCATTAACAAGATCATACTAAGAAATTATGGAATGTTATACATGTTGCATTTCAAGGCTACGTAGCATATGCACTAGCAATAGCAGTTAGCAGTTAGACCTGAAGGGGACTCAGGGCGGCTCACAACTCAACTAGGGAAGGGGAATACAGACAAAAAGAAATTTAAAAAACAAAGCATAACAATGCATAATTTAAAAACATACAACAGTCATACCATTCGAGACGGGGGCAAGAGCTCTTTAGCCCCAATTCACAACTTCTACAGGCAAGTTGTTCCACTGGATATAGTTAAAAGTTGTTCCACTGGAACAACTTGCCTGTAGAAGTAGTAGCTGTAGGACAGGAGGAAAATAGTCCATTTGTGGTGACAGCGATGCTCGGGTAGGCTGGTCCCCAGCCAACAGGCGGTTTATGGTCCGTGGTGATCTCAAAATCACGGTCATACAAGTACTCATGGAACTGTTTTATGCCAACTACTGCAGCCAGAGCCTCACGGTCCAGTTGGCTGTTGTTCCGCTCGGCAGCTGACAGGGTCCTTGAGTAGTAGGTGATAGGCACCTCGGTTCCATTGGACATGCGATGGCTGAGGATGCCAAATGGGGAGGCGTCACAAGTCAGCGCAAGTGGCAGAATCTGGTTGTACTGGACAAGGAATGTGTGCGCTGACAGCAGTCTTTTTACCGCTGCAAAGGTGGCAGCTTCAGCTCTTCCCCAGGTCCAATTTGCCTTCTTGCTGAGGAGCGATGCGAGGGCTTTCTGTTT